CTCTCCGTTTCTTTTCTTTTCTTTTTGCGCTGTGTGACTGTGTCCAATACTCCTATTTATTACTTGTTGGATTACTGTGCAGCTGCTGAGATATGGGCCCCTGAGCTCACACATTGCCCCAGCATAAAATGTATCATTCTTATATATCTTAAAGAGGAAAGAGGGAAAGCAACTGTCACCAGCTCCTATGGAAATACTCCGTATATTGCGTCGCCACGAACACTCACATGGGCTTGCCACTTTTTTTCCGTGTACAGTACAGTGCCCGGAGCGCGGATATGTTATAGTGGTGGGGCTTTTTCATGGTCTCATGGAGCATCTCTAGCTACAACAGTCCCTGGCCGTATGCTGCAACGCATGCAGTCGGGTGTGAGGGAACAATTGCTCTTCAGAAAAACTGTTTCCGTTTGTCCAATGGCTTAAACTAGCGACCATCGACCGACCTTTTGGGCAACCACGACCGCTAGATTAATAAGCTGTGCTGGTCTCTCCAAACAAGTAGAGACAGGAATCCGGCGAGTTGGTGGCTGCCCGCCCGGACCAGCAATGCGCACCTACTTGCAATGCAGCAGGCCATATGCACTGTCATGTCGACGCACCATGCAGCTAGCCCCAAGCTCAGTAGTAGTATATGGGTTTTGCAGCTTTATTATTTCTGTATATGTGTACATTGGCCATATGTATCTTGGGTCTCAGTTCCTGGCCCGTACGTATGTGATGTGTGTTTGACCGGCATCATATCTGTTTGTGGCTGCCTGCCTGCTGGTGCTATATCGCCCTGCATGTGCGCTCTAGGTCGCCCAGCATGTGGAGGCAAATGATGATGTGCTGCTCGGCTCGCTCCATGCCTGGCCTTGCGTTGCGATAGCCACCACTATCGTCATGTTCCCTTGGGCTTACAAACAGTAATTTTGTCTTATAACAAATCAGCCAACAATACTTTCAGCTATGGCTTATCAGCCAAGCGAACAGGGCAATATGTTAGTAGGTTATGATTGGGGGCCTCCATAAAAATCCATGGATGCTAATGCTATTGTGTGATCCATGCGAAATGCCAATGCCATCCGTATATTGCGAGGCATCATATCATGGTGCGCCCGGCCGGAACAGCTGAACCAATCGAGCGTACGTTTCGTCTTTGCTCATACCACTTTCCGAACAATTTGACTCGATCACTCTGCTTTATTTTTCGAAAGCCTCCGAGACTACTGTGATTATTGGAATGTAGGTCGTTATCGCTTTTGATCAAGCAAACTAAGGGCGCGTTTAGATCCGGCACTGTCAGAAGACTTTCGTTTATATTTGATGCTAATTATAGACTAATTAGGTTTAAAGGCAGCGATTGACGATCTACATTTACTCAACTACGCCGCAAGATTCACGAGTGCTAAAATTTTTAGGAACTGCGCGCCCTAATAACGGCAGTGATGAGCTAGAGGTAGGATAAAGGCAGCGATGACGACTACTCAACTCACGAGTGCTGCCCTGCCGCTCAGGCCGGCCCAGATACCGCAGAGAGGCACGCACTGTTCTCCCTTTTTTCGCTCCATCCCCCCTCGTGATCTGTTCCTGTGACCTGCTGGGCGACCTGGCTCAGCTCAGCTAGTCTCTGCCAGATGAAGCCGACGGCAGCAGTGCCAGCAACAGAAAAAAGAGAGGGGAGGAGTGGTCACGGCACATCCCTCGCTGAAGAAGGAGCGCCCGAGCACTGGACCATGGCGGTCGGCGGCAGGAAAACGATGTTTCCATGCGCAGTGCCGCGAGAGACGTCCTAATCGAGCACGCCGATCATCGCCACCCGGTGCCATGAACATGCATATGCTTCGGCAATTATAGCTCCCGTCGTCGTCGCTCGCCAAATCCAGATCCATGCACTTGTGCCCGCAGCAGAAGAGAGATCAGCTAAGCTACGCTAGGCGTGCAAAACTTATGACGTGGTTGTCGTGTTTGTCCCCTGCTGCAGAGAAGTGACAATTGGGCGTCGTATGTACATTGAGCTGAGAGGGTAGGCGCGGCGGCTAGGCAACAAGCAACTGTAGCTAGCTGAGATAGACATCCGTTAGCGACAGACTAGCAGCATACTACTAGCATCCAGCTTCCAAACGAGGATAAGGAGGGGCGTTGGAAATTCACATCAACCTGCTGTCCAAGTCCGAGCCATTGATGGAGCCGTGAGAGTGAACTGTGTCCACTCCACATGCGGTGTCTGATCTTCAAATAAACTTGGTTTGTCCATGGGGCCCACCATATATACCCGTATGATTGGTCAACATCACCTATATCTGGCATTAAACACAGGTAATCTACGAGCTAAACGCAAATATCTCAGGATTATTACTGTGCCTCCGGGTTGCTAGCTCCTGTTTCAGATTCAGAGAATTACCCGTGCTTCAGCATGGGTTATACTAATCTTACAAGACAGAGCATAGTTGGCCAAACGGCCGCCCGGCACAGCCAGGCACGGTTAATATATATTTATTGCACATGCATATTTGTACACTTGGTCGGCACGGTTTCATAACATGAATGTTCACTTTGTGTTAGTTGTTTTTATATATTAATAGTGGTAAGCTCTACGTATATATATTTTTTCATAATAGTAGATGATACATAGATTTTTGAGTGGACATTTTCTTTAATTTTTAGTAACAAATAGAATGGTATAACTTAGATACTAACTTTAAGGGTTACTTAGATTACCTATTATAATGGCAGTGATGGATAATTAAAGTTTAAATTTAAGGGGGTTACTTTAGCTTGGTTTTCATAATAACGACAAGTGTGAGTTTAGATGCAAATTTTGAGGGAGACTCCATGTTGCTTAGTGGAAAAATGTGAGTAACCTCTAAGGAACAGAAATTATACAAATGGCTATTAGGTATTATCAAGGATGATCAGAGTTTGTCCTGTTGACTACCGAAGGATTTTTATTTTCTGAGAATTATTGATTTTTTTTTGTAGCCTCCAATTACTAATAGTCAAACTACGTATATTTGGAAAAAAAAATGTTTAGAAAAACATGGAGATAAAAGGAAACGTCACTGGAAAAGCACATTCCTCGTCACGCTGACGCAGAGACGCTCCCATGCAAAAGGCAAAGGCTACCGCGCTAGTAGTAGCTATCAGCAAATTAAAGGCCAGTGTGTGTATTTTGTTTGGCAACACAAACCCGGGAAGAAAGTTTTATTTATAATACTCGTAGCAGTACCGATGCACACACTCGTACTAATGTTGTACCACACGCATGCAGCATCGAGCTGGCCGCTGCCGCTGCCGCTTCGGCGCCCGGAAACGAACGCACAAAAGCCGGGCCAACGGACGCGCGCGAGTAAACAAGACGGGACGGTGCGGTGCGAACAAGGCGTGAGTGCCTGACTCCTGACGGCCTGTGCGCCCTGCCCACCAGCGTCGTTTCGTGGCGCGTGACCAGCAGCAACGTGCCGTAGCCCGTAGGCCTCCCGGCCGCCGCGGATCCCGAGGCCGTTTCCCACCTCCCTCCACTGGCACGGGCCAAAAACCATCCCCCGAACCGTCCCTGTCCCCAGCCCTGGGCGTTCGGGAACCGACTTCGATTTTTGAAGAACTTTGGTTATCAGAAAAACCAATACCGATTGGTTCTTCAAAAAACATGGAACCGACCAAGTTCAGTATCGGTTCCGGGTAGAACCGAAAAACCAAAAATACCCAAAATAATTGAAGTGACACATATATTCAAATTTTGAATCATATTTGTCAGCAAAATACTTACACTGCAAGAGGCAACGGATGTAGCCGTCTTGGGGTGGAGGGCGCTAGTGAGTGGTGACGTGCGGTCTGCGGACCGAGAGGGCTTTGCGAAGCTTAATTTGTCGCTGTGCAGGTGGGTGGGGATCTTCTTGGGCTGGTGGGGATGTGGGGCCGGGGATTGGAGAGGCCGAGGAGGCTATTTGGAGCTGGCCGCTTGGCCGTGGCCGGCAGCAGCATGGCATGTGCGGGCGCAGTGGGGATCTTGGCGTGGGTGAGGAGGCCAGGAGGTCTTGGGGTGGAGACTAGAGTGGCTAGGGTTACTCGCTCGGGGTAAAAGCGTCAAGTAGTAGTTCAAGCTGGGCCTTAATTGGCCTCCGGTTCTTCGGTTATTTCGGTTAACCGAGGGAAGAATCGATTTAACCGAATAAAGTTTGGTTCCTAAGAATTGAGAACCGAACAGGCAACCGAAATTTCGATTCTCGGTTAGTTTGGTTCGATCCTCAATTAGTTCTCTCCGTAAAATTTACCGGGGCTACCTGTCCCGTTGGGTGCGTCTACCGGTCGATGGTTCGGTTTCCTCGACTCGTCTCCAGCCTCCCCTCGCGTACTCACGCGACGCGAGCGAACCCACTTGGGCGTGATGATTGCGCTCTGACGAGCAGGCGGCTGTCCAGGCCCCGCCACCACTCATCCCGTTTGACCACGAAACAGCCGTGGCGCCGACTGGGCCCCGCGCGTCAGGGAGCCACGTCGTACTTTGCAAAAGCAGGCCCACCCCGACCCCGCCTCGTTTAACCGTCTCTCCTGCCCTGCCCGGGCCGAGGGGAAAATACCGTCCTTTCTCTCCCTGCCCTGGCGATTTGGCGCAAGCTCTCTCACTTCCACCGGGGCCCGTTGCCAGGGCAAAACTGGAAAGCGCCACTGGTAAAGAGTGAGCCGGGTAACTCTTGGAGAGAGTGGCATCACCGTTACAGCTCAGCCAGCCTCCGCCACCACCCTCACTCCCCCAGCCAGCCAGCGTTACAATAGGAGGGAGGGAGCAGCGGGAGGCAGCAGGCTAGCAGCAGCCACAGCAGAGCAGCGGCGGCTGCGTTCAGACTACTACTACTACTACTACCAGTTCCTCCTCCTCCGGTTCCTGCCCCTGCTCTGCTCCTTCTCCTTCCCCCAAATTCCACACCTCAAATAATAAACAAATCAAAGGTGAACAGCGGCCTCAAGGAACCGCGGGGGTGTGCAGCCGAGGCAGATCCGCGAGATCCGGCGGGCCGCCGATGACGAGCGGCGCCGGTGGAGCCGCCGCCGGGATCGGGGGCACCAGGGTGCCCACGTGGAGGGAGCGCGAGAACAACCGCCGCAGGGAGCGCCGGCGCCGCGCGATCGCCGCCAAGATCTTCGCCGGCCTCAGGGCCTACGGCAACTACAACCTCCCCAAGCACTGCGACAACAACGAGGTGCTCAAGGCGCTCTGCAACGAGGCCGGATGGACCGTCGAACACGACGGCACCACCTACCGCAAGGTAACTAACCACCGATGCATCCATCCATCCATCCCTCCCTTGTTGCTTCGGTGCTTGCTCCGCCGGCCTGCCGGCCAGGCTAGCCTCTCGACGGCTTCGCTTCGGTTCGGTTCCTGCTTTGCGCTTTCAGTTGCTTGCTTTTGCTTTTGCTTTGGTTGCTCTGTAGAATTGCAGTCGTGCCTGCGGCTGCTGCGATCTGAGCAGCGCCAGAGCGTGTTTGCTTGGTTGTTGCGACTAGGCGAGTCTCGCCGGAGACGCATCCTCGGTTTTGTTGGGACTTGGGGCGTCTCTGTTTCGAGGCAGGGGACGGCGCACGGCTCTGTTTAACAACTTCCCAAAGCAATGTAGCGATTTCGTTGGTTCGGTGGACCGATCTTGGGATGTTCCTGCTCTCGCGTGCACATCCCTATATTCCCTTGGATTTGGAGCTGTCTTTACTTGCTTTGACCTCTGCTTTTGTCTTGGTGCTATGCTTGGTGCTCTTAGGCTGTTCTGTTCTCGGGCCAGGGAAACGGGAGCTTGATTTACAGCAAACGGGGAATGCAATTATGCAATGCGGGCGGGTTAATCTGCTGGGCAAGCTCTAGAATTAGGATTTAAAAAAAACTTTTTAAATTAGGAGAAGGGAAATGTTGCTTTCCTTTTCGGCAATCGCTCAAGGCAATTCTTTTGGGGATGGCATGCTTTCTTCCCAGTATTGCTTTTGTGGTTCCTTCCTAGTATGACCAAAAGAAAAATCTGAGACCTCGTCTGAAGATTTTTGTCAGCTACCACATTTCTCTTGGTCCCTGACGGAAGGTGGTTCAGTTTGGGTTGGGATTCAATTCGGTAAAAATGCGTGCCGCATATCACGTCCAGGCTGATGCTGAAAAAAAGCAGGGCTTATCAGAAAAGCACAAAGCATAGTTCAACATGTTTTTTGCCATGTGCACATGTAGCCACTGCTCTCAGAAAACAAAAGCAATAGTTTTTCACTTTGCTTTTGAGGCTTGTGCCAAAACTCTTTGGTAACGTGAGACTTTCAAAATTTTCCATACCTTGAGTTGGTTCATTGGTTGCCTTTGTTCTATGCAGTATGCAACACTTGTGTTTACTCATTATTTGGTAATCAATGCCGAGGTGTACTCTTCTGTAGTAAGTACAATAGCTTCAGCTGTATTGTAACCTACTTTGAAGTTGGTTTTACATGTTTTTCTGTTACTTCTGTCAATTTATTGCAGTCAATTGAACAATTGAAGGAGTTTTAGTTGATTTATTACATATAGAGGAGAGTAAATTGCATCTGTAAGTTGGCATCTCAGAAATTTGAACTGCAGAGAGTTTCAATTGATTAATCCAAATCTTCTGTATAATTTTTGAACTTGCTTGCGTGTAGCATTTCGTTTACAAAAAGGTGAACAGGAAAGTAACTGATTTCGTTGGCAGTTATTGTGGTTTATTAAACTTGGCATGCTTCTGTTCAGTGCCTGCTCTAGTTTTCTGCTTTACAACAATTCTCAGTGCGCTTAATGTTGATTGATTATTGTTAAGTAATGAATTTCTTCTTGATTCAGGGATGTAAACCTCTTGCAACAGAGCGGCCTGATCCAATTGGAAGGTCTGCATCACCAAGCCCTTGCTCCTCATATCAACCTAGTCCACGAGCTTCATACAATCCAAGCCCTGCATCCTCTTCGTTTCCAAGCTCTGGATCCTCCTCTCACATTACTCTTGGCGGGAACAACTTCATGGGTGGTGTCGAGGGCAACTCTCTTATCCCATGGCTAAAGAACCTTTCCTCGAGTTCCTCATTTGCCTCCTCCTCCAAGTTCCCGCAGCTTCATCATCTCTACTTCAACGGTGGTTCCATCAGTGCACCAGTAACACCTCCATCCAGCTCTCCAACTCGCACACCTCGCATCAAGACTGACTGGGAGAATCCAAGTGTTCAGCCACCATGGGCTGGGGCAAATTATGTGTCTCTTCCCAACTCCCAACCGCCGAGCCCTGGGCACCACCAGGTTGCTCCAGACCCAGCATGGCTAGCCGGGTTTCAGATATCATCTGCTGGTCCTTCATCTCCAACATACAGCCTTGTGGCACCGAATCCTTTTGGTATTTTCAAGGAGACCATCGCCAGCACCTCAAGAATGTGCACCCCTGGACAGAGTGGAACATGTTCTCCTGTAATGGGTGGTGTGCCAATCCATCACGATGTCCAGATGGTTGATGGTGCCCCAGATGATTTCGCCTTTGGGAGCAGCAGCAACGGGAACAACGAATCACCTGGTCTTGTGAAGGCATGGGAGGGGGAACGGATACACGAGGAGTGCGCCTCGGACGAGCATGAGCTGGAGCTCACCCTTGGGAGCTCAAAGACTCGTGCAGATCCCTCCTGATCATGCTACAAGAGTCAAGTCTTCACCTGGGTTTTTACTTTCATCTTTATTTCGACGGCGCTCTTCTATTTTATTAGTTCAGTGTTTGTAGAAAGAGAGAAGGGATCCAGAGATCTTATCACGGTCCTCTGGAGATGATATCCATCCTCTTTCAAGCATCTGAACTTATTCTAGCCTAAGCAAATTGTTAACTTATTTATTTCATTTTTTCTTCATTTCTTTTTTGTCTTCCTCAAGAAATGAAAAGGGAAAAAAATGCAAGGGTAAAGAGTGCTTGCAGGGAACCTTAGACAAGTCGGAGAACTGGTCATCCGTCAGCAGTAGCTGAGATCCCTGTGGCATTCATGTGCCCTTGTAAATTAGCTCCAGTTGTCCTTGATATGACTATTATCGTTGTACTTGTGTCGAAAGTGTGTACATTGTATGGATCATTCATTGGTTCTGTCGTGCCTTTGCTGATTGAAGTGTTTAGTTCAGGTGCTTCCAATTTTTAGGGATATAAGGGTGTTGCTGCCATATTGTACCTTGTCATATCAAAATTCCAGGGAAGATACTCCGCATGTAGTAACCATGTGCCTAAACCTGTGTGATTGACATTTTGATGCACAGTTACTGAGTCACTCATGATATTTCACCTGGACTTTCTTGCAGAAGTGTTGTTACAGTTGCAGCAATGACCTCAATTAACGCAGCCATCTTTTATATACCATAATAGAAGGGACATGACAATTCTTGTCAAAGAGAAAAACAAGAAATTCTCAATAGTAAAAAAGATATTGAGACATTTTCTTAGTTTTTTCTACGATTTTATTACATTTCTGTTTCTCTACAAGGTATATTGTCTCCATATGCTCATATAGACTCTGTCTAATTTACGTTAGATGTTTGTCCAAAAAAATATTGCAATATTTTCGCAGCACATGTTGCCAGGGGATATTCCTTACCAAAGCAGTGTTGCATCAGGCAGGCTGCCTAGTGCCTGCTTGATTGTATGCAAGCATTATTTTTTATTTTCAAAAAAAAAAACATGCCGGAGGGAAAAAAAAACCCCCGCTGTCTAGAACAATGGTTATCCTCGTATGAAATTAATTTCATATTGCCCAGTTTCCCGTGATCAAAGGTGTTCCCTCACAAAAATTCCCTCTCTTCTATCAATTGATTTTTTTTTCTGTTGACAGTCTTTTTTTTTTAATCAAAGGTCTCAGACCCTGCTTATTGAAAGCAACACAGTAGTTACTGGGGTTACCAGTTTACATTATTGCCAAGTGTGCACACTTAGGCACCACCGGTTCTAACAAACAGAAAACACCTCAGCCAAAACCTTCTGCTCTAAGACCAAAACAAAAGAGAAGACAGAAAAGAGCAAACTAAACAAAGTACGCCCAAGTGCAGACTTCATCATCCCCCTTCCTTGCTTTAAGTGCATTTCATCAACTTGAGAATTAACACCTCCACTTCGCTCTTGTCCTCCTTCGCAAGTACAACTGGTTCAAAGAACCATACGCTTTATAAGCTACTACTTGTTTAGGTGGTGTCGGTATTATTTTAGAGAACACACAAGGTCATTTCTATTTTTCCATAGAGCCCAACTTATGGCTGCTAAAATCAACCATCTAGTTGTGAGGTGGTCAGCTGTTTCCTCCTTTCCACAGAATTTGCAGAATGTCAAACCATACCAATTTCTTTTGCAGAGTTGATCTGTCTCTATTCTATCATGACAGGCCATCCATAGAAAAATTTGGACCATGGTATCTTTACTGTCCACATCTCCATCATCCTTGCATCCAGGACTCCACCAAAGGTAATTAATCTGTATATGCTTCTAGTTGTGAATTACCTGTCTTCTCTAATTTTCAAGTCACCTGGTCCCCCTCGGTAAGGTTAATCTCCTGAAGTCTCACCAACATATTTCTCCATTCCTCATTCTCTCTTTTCCTAAAATTCCTTCTATATGATAAATTCCACTCTCTATTCGCAGCCACCTCCACTGTGTTTTCCTGATCTAGACAAATTCTATATAAATGTGGGAACACTAGCTTTGAGGGGCATTCCTCCACCCAAATGTCATCCCAAAATCTTGTTCGTTTCCCACTTTTTACTAAGTTACCCTTGCCTCTTTCATACTAGTCCTTAACTGCATGAAGGACTTACCAAAACTACTACTGCTTTGGCTGAAACCTTTACCTCTTGAGTAGCATTTCTTTCTAAGCAGGCTCATGCACATATTCTCTTCTCAACTCTCCAACTTGTAGATCCACTTACATAATAGTAATGCTGTATTCATATCCCTTGTATCACATTTATATAGAATCACGATGGTCTAAATTATTTATTGTCTTTACGTGCCGCGTTTCAGTGATGATGGGCTTGTTTTCAGTATGCCAAATCAGGATCTGAATTGCACGGTATCAATGAAGAAAAAGCAGTGTTCTTGCAGGCTGTCCATACGAATTCACGATGGCATATTGGCGTGCAGCTGAACTTGCAAGACTGGCTGTCATGTGCAATGTACACACACACAAATAAAAGTTTTGCTAGGGCCATAAAATCGCGTCTCACTAGACATTAATGCCATTGTCATGCGGGAGTAAGGTTCATGCTCTTGTACGTTACTGCCAGATCCAATCAAGCTTTCAGGTCCTTGCTACATCCATCTTGTTCCCCATCCCCTCTCAGAAGACACTACGGGCACAAAGTACCATCCCCTCTTACATCCATCTTGTTCCTCATCCCCTCTCAGTAGACACTACGGGCACAAAGTACTTGAGTAAGATTTACGCATTAGCAACGTCTCATATACAGAAATGAGATGGTACAAGTGGATTCAGAGTTAACTTTGACAACACTTGAACAAATGATTTTTTTTTTCATTTCTCACGAGAATTGTAACCATATTTACAGCATTTACAGAGTGGTTTGTGGTTCCAAATACATCTGTTTGATGTAAAACAATGGACGGTCAGGGGTACACTTGCATCATCACCAACTAGGAATAAGATAAAGATGGCAAAGCAATGACCCAGAAATAATTCAATTCATTCACCAGGCTATACTGCATGTCAGAAACTAAGGAGAAGACTCAAGAGGTTCACATGTGGATCTTATCAAATAATACAGATAAAGCTTTGTATAGAGTTGCGGCAGCAGGCGGTTTTGGCAGCGAGCCAAGAAGGATTTCTGAGGCCTTGATTGGACCACCATAAAATCGGGCATTTACCGAGTCTCGAGTGGATACCACACTTCCATTGAGTGCACAGCCCACAAAGGCACCTGCCAGAGAAACAAAGAACTGATAGTGACAAAAAGCAAAGCTAATGAAACATCAATGTCAGATCACTAATAGACTTAAAGCAGATCCTGACATCAACAGTACATATTTAGCAATCAAAACAAAAGCTGAAAAGACATGTGTTGCGCTCGACTATAATATAATTAATGAAACCGTATGAACTGTATAATGCTGCAAGAACGAAGATGCCAAATGATGCTGAGTTTTGATCCACTGTAGCACTCACTATATATGCCTTGTACTGATGTGTGATTCAACTGACTGACAGAAGCAAATGTTGATTTTTTTTAGATTATCTGAATGTACTACCTTGAAGCAGCTAGCTGTGATACCAAACCATCATGTTTCATTTTATTCAACTGACTGGAAATTGAAGATCTGTAGAAACTCTTATTAGCTGCCATAAGCGACTGAGACCACATGGCTCAAGGTCTATGAACTATATTCCTCCAGAAATTGAATTCTGGTCTACACTACAAACGTTGGAAATATTTGCTTAAGAGCATTCAGAATTCACAAACTACTTCCTAGTACAACAGAAGGTATTTATGGCTGAAATCCAATTATAATTATAATATTCAAATTCTGTGAGTACACAGGATTTGACCTGTAGTGTTTGATTGTTTGGTGAAAATTGGTCCAAAGCAGTTCTCTGCCAGAAACATGTTGCTTGGACAAAAATTCACCACTAAACAGATAGTGCTGGTTAGAAGATAAATGAAATTAGCGCAACATGCAACTCTTTTAACCTTTTTTTACTGTAAGTGTTTGATTGTTTGATGACAAGAGGTTCACTGTCAGAAACATGCTGCTTGGGAAAGAACTCACCAATATGATAGAGCTCATTGGAAAATAACGAAATTAGTCCAACCAGTAGCTCTTAACTTATTTTTTACTGCATATTTTTCATTCACCATTGTTAAGTAACTACAAATATGCACAGATTAATGTGTCAACCAAGGACCTGGAAACTTTTCACTAACGACCAAACTAGTTGGTATTCAATATCCTGTCAGATTTCTTTTAATTACTGACTAGTGAACAGTTCAGGAACAATAGAAGAGTACTTTCCATAGAGCAATGTGGCCAAATCAGAAAAAAAAGTGGAAACTTCATTAAACCATACCTTTGCTACAACTGTATGTGTAACAGGCAGCATAACCACCATCACCAGCACGGAAATCAGCCTCTGCCGCTCGTCCAAAATGACCAGCAGAAGCACTAATACCAGCCCCAATTGACATATGTGCATTTCCACTGAAAGTTTTGATGGCATCTGTGTTCCTAAGAACAATGATGTAGTCAGCCAACTCACCTCCAGCCTGAAAGGTACAAGATACAGACATATTTCAAGTGTTAGAAGGCCTTAGTTATAACCAAAACACAAGCTCGATGAGAATATTACCTGAACTCCATATCCAAGACCGCAAGTAGAGATGGCAGAAGGAGGGGACCAAGAACCATCACCTCTCCGAGCAACCACCAATCCAGTACCGATTCTGTATGTAAGCATCATACCAACCTTTACCTCAGTGATGATTGCAAGCCCTTTTGCTTGTCTGAGAATTGAATCAGGGATCGACTTCTCAGGTTTCAGCTCTCCCACCTGAATATGGCAAGCATAGAACATTTTGTGATTACATCCTTATTAACAGCAAAGGGCTGACTGAACAAGAAGCATGTTGCTAAAAAAAGAAGAGGAAATAATTGAAAGAGTAAACTTTATTGTGGTCCCCAGATTTTGAAAAGCATATGACTAGCTTATAAATGGAACCACAAATTGTAAAGGCAATGCTGATCTATGCAAATGCTTCTGCTATGCAGTACCGCATCAAGTGTATTATAAATGGGAAATTGGATTTTAAATGGCCTAATCATGGTGTTGACAAATGCAGAAAAATACCAGTTCATTTCTGAGGCAGTTTGCACGATATGTTACACATGTCAGATCACTTATTTGTGTCATAAAGTCGAGCAACGATTTTATCTGCCTAAAAGAAAATTGATGAACAATTGACATTTGGAACAACTTGTCACATATATACAAGGTGCCTTGGTAAGCTAGGAACTGTGCTAAAAATTTGTAGAGAAAAATGATTTGTCAAATATACTTGGCAAGCATGAAGGACACAATCTAATTATACTTTTCTTGGGAAACATGAATGCCACAAGTTACCCAATTGATATAACTATTTAAATGGATTAACTTGGATACTATTCAACATAATTCATGAAGCCACACATTTTTAGTTTGGATCTGGTACAGTAGTAAATTACTTCAAGAGTTTAAGCAGGGCTGGAGATTTATAGAACTGTAGTAAGATTAACATCTACTCTAGCTAATTAATGCTTGTAGCATTGGATAACCATTGGTTGAGCAGAAAATGTGTTTTTAGGAAGAATCAAGGCACAGGAACAAATGCTTTCTAGGAAAAACAGTGAAATGATTAGCAACAGGAGGCATTCAAAGTGTTGGATATGAATAACTTACAATAGCCATGTATGGAATTTGCAGCTTTGTAGATCTCATACTCCATACTGACTGCCCATGGGATGTTTAACCATGACCTCAAGGTGCTTAGGTCTGTCAAGTCTTGAGTTGGAAGTTGACAAGCACGACTGAATTGATTCATCAAATAAGGTTGAATACACTCAAGACGCACTGCACAAACATCACAGACCCTTTGAGGATCTGAGGTCATGAACTTCGGGGGCATCAAGCTTCTACCCTTTGAACAACCACCACAAAATATCCCACCACAAAATCGGCAATGATGGCGAGTGCAAATTATTGGATGAAAATGTGCTCCGCAAAGCATACAAGAAGAGGAAGCACTATCAGGCAACCACTTTGTTGGTTCTGTCTCAAGGAGAGCATGTTCAGAACCAGCACTGACATCTTCAAGTGTTTGGGCATTATCCTTCAGAGCCTCTTCAAGGAAAAAATCTGAAATCATAGACATGCCATACGTCCCTAAATCAAATGATGCAATGGATAGTACTTTATCCTTCCCTGCAACAACCATCTCAGAGAGCACATCCCACATTGTCATCTCCAAATTTTCTTCGTCAATATCCCACTTATATTCTTCCTCTGGGAAGCCCGCACTATCGTAACCAAAGCCCTTTTGCCACTCATCATGATCATGTTTTGTCATCGGTGGAACAGAAGGAGGCACCCATATGATGCCTGTTTGTTCACAAGAAGGGAAACCATCATAGTTGTTTTCTCCGGATTCCTTCGCAGTGGTCATCTCATCGCTGAACTCATCAGAATTGACAACACCAAGCCTTTCTTCCTTGAAAACTTCAGGAGGAGGATCCCTAGCGCCCTTCTCAAATATGTGGGGGCCCTGATTTTCACAATAAACCATAACCTTAAATAATTTGGGTGATGACACGTACATACATATATACTCCATCCGTTCCAAATTATAAGTCGCTTTAACTTTTTTGGTACATTCATTTTGCTATGCATCTAGATAAATAATGTCTAGATACATAGCAAAATGGATGAACCAAAAGAGTCAAATCGACTTATAATTTGGAACGGAGGGAGTAACTTTTTGGACGCGTAACTAAATTACATAATCTAAGCTAACTGAACACACTCACTTTATTTTACCATATTTGACAATTTAGATGTTTTCGTACTAAAAAAAAGTGCAAGATGGTGACATCCTACTATTTAAGTTGTCAATTGCTAGGTCATCAAATATTTTGGTTTACTAGATCAACCATTCTGATAATAATAAATGAAAAAGAGAGCTCTAGTTTTGTAACATTACAAGCTAAATGAGGTAGGGGGCACATTTGGAAGATATAGGTATATTTCTAAAATTCACTTTTGCATGCTAAAACATCAAATAAGAAAGTGCAGAGGTAGTCCAGGCACTGATCAGGGGCCAGGACATAGGAATGCACTGCTTGGCAAACTTGCTTTTTGTGTATCAAGGGAATGGAGAATTAAAACGGTTATAATCTCTTGCTTCCATACCATAAACCCGCGTGACTATACATTAACCAGCAACAGAGCTGCTCAAACTTAACAACAAGCAGAAACCCGAAAGCTCCCAACTTTTTCACCCTGAACCCTAAGCGCGCTTCACCAGTCTAGGAAGAAACCATCACGCGGATATTCCATCCAATCTACCGGGGACGCAAACTCAGTATCAGATGAATCGAGTCGAGGAGGGAGTGCTCGATTACCGATTCTGGGGAGGAAGGCGCGTCGGGTTCGTCGTCCCACATCACCGGCGCGTCGCAAACCCCGGCCTCCTCCTCGCCGGCGGCGGCTGGGACCTGCGGGGGCTCCAGGTCGTACGGCTCGATCGGAGGGTAGAGGCGATCAGTTCCCGCCATGTCGCCAACACACGGCGGCTCCAATTCAGGTCGCTCGAATCCCGGGGGAGTTGGAGGAGGATCAGGAATCGGGAATTGCTTGAAGAAGGGGACGATCGAAGTCGAAGGTCTAAACTGGCGACGAGACAGGAAGAGGAACACAAGAGGGAGACGGGAGGAACAAGTTAAAATTTCGTGGTATACAGGCAGACTTGGCATCTTATCTTAGTATATACTACTCATAAATTAGTATATTATTATTATATACTACAGGAGCCTTGATTAATAAGTATAATAGATTTCGAGTTGCTGTTGATGCACGAATACACATCGACACGCACACGCTTATGCCCACTTAACTTATAATTCGTAATATTCAGCTTGTTTTTCAGTCGGAACAGTGTTTTTCTCTCACAATAATTCAGCAAAAATAGTGTTTCTCAACCAATTCAGCCAAATTTCAGTAAGTCAAACGGGGCCTTAATTGCTTGTGGCGCAAAGAAGAAAAAAAATCATCTTTTATCTCGGGAAAAAAATCATTTGAAATACTAATACAGCTCGAGGTTAATTATGGGCGGGACCGCCAGCGGTGGAATCACGGTACGTATATAAGCATAACGCGACTCAAATGGTTCGTGATTTCCCATCGTTAATTATGGCCCGTTTGGGACCGCCAGCAGTGGAATCACGGTGCGTATAAGCATAAATAACGCGGCTCAGATCGTTCGTGATTTCCCACCGTGCAGTTCATTTTTCCCATCGTTTCAGAAGTTGCTTCGACGCGAGCTGTTTGGTGGATTTTTTCTACTGAAATGCAACGTCATCACGGAAACAAACACGCCCTGTACAACACGTCTTTATGTCTCTATCTAACTTTGTCTCCAATCCCGTAGGCGGCCCATATTCTCAATTATTAGTAAGCACCAAATAGTTATGGGCTCACAACTCGTAGACCGCAGCCCACCAGACCAACAGGCCAAGCGTGCACCACTAAATTTTTCTGGCCCACACTTTGCTCCCGCGCATGGGCCGCTTTGATCTTGCACATGGGCTGATGAATTTTTCTCTCCCGCGTATGGGCCGGCCTGTTCCGCAGCTAGCGCACTTGATCGTGATGCACATCTCATGGATAGTACGAGAACAATAAAAAAAAACCTAGTAGAACATCATATTAATACATACCATTTATACTACTGAATATCCCGAGGTATACCTAGACATCACATATATATACTACATAAACATCACATGTATATCATACAAGTAGGAAATAAAAAGTGATATGAAAATGAAAAATAATTAAAATAGTTAATTGGAGTAAAATAAAGAAGGAAAAAGAAAAAATGAAAAGCAAAATGCTATGAAATATATAGAAAAATAAAATAAATAAATTAATTAAATAAACAATTTAATTAATGAGATATAGAACAAAACATAAGAGAAAACAAAAAAATAAAATAGGAAAAGAGCCACATAATAGACGAAAGTAAAAAAAGGCCGGCTGCACAAAAAAGCGGTTGCTGCTGCGGGCTGCGGCTATAGCTATAGTGTTCATCAGTCTGCTGGACACTGTAGCTGCAGCCGCAGCAACTTCTTTTTGCAGCCAAACATGCCCCAGAAGAACAAAACATGGATACTATATTCAAATAACATAAAATATACCATAAAACATCTCACAAGTACTATGTGAATATTTAAAAATAATCATAGGACCATCTATTTATAATATGTGAACATCAGCGAAGGCATCATAAAATATTCATGTATACTACGCGAACATCATATGTATCTTATGTAGTATAATAAGAATTTAAAGAGTAGAACATGAATAATGAAAATAAATAATTAAAATAACAAACTACAGTAAAATAAGGGAGAAAAGAGAAATAAAAAGGATAAAGGAAATGAAAATAAGAAAAATCAGAAGAACAGAGAAAAAAATAAAGTTCACGGAAAACAAAAAGGGAAACAGAATAAAAGAAAGAATAAAAAGGAAATCTAAAAATAAAGAAAGGAAATAATTAATTATAATAAAAGAGAAAAGAAGGAAAATAAACATAAAAAGATAAACAAAATAAAAAAAGAGAATAAAAAGATCACCGAAAACAAAAAGGGAAAACACAAGGTAAGGAATCGTTACGTAATGTACCTGTTGCCGGAGTCTAAAAAAAATACTTCCCTCCGTTTGTGTTTACTTGTCAGCAACTTTTTACTATAGCAAATTTGATCATCTGTTTTTTCTTCTAAAAAAATCTTAGATACTTTAATGTATATAACACTAATTAAGTATGTTTAATAAAAAATCATATATGTGAAAACTTGATGTATATAAAAATCTTTTGCAGAAAAAACGTATGGTCAAAATTGCTACAGTAAAAATTCGGTGACAAGTAAACAAAAACGGAGGTAAGTATATAGAAAACGTACCTGTTGCTGGAGTCCGAAAAAAAGAGTGGGTCATGGGCCGCGAGCGTCGCTTGGGTTGGGGAATTTATGGCCCGCGCTCTCGCTCGCTCCGAAAAGCCATCATGGAAAGGAAAAAAATCAGCATTATCTCCCTCAATTTTTTGTGAAAGTCTACTTCCCCTGAATTCTAAAACCGAGTAAACCACCCCGTTGAATTTTTAAAACCATTCGTTTTACCTCCCTGACCGGTTATAAGCGGTTTTCAATGGCGGTTTTGTCTTTTTTTTTTTATTTATTTGAGCGAATCTTTGAAAAATCATAATAAATCACAAAAAATCATAAAATGAAAATCCAATTTTGTTAGACTTCACATGAGTAGATCTACACAGTGAATATATAATATGGTATGCTTTAGTACATTTTTTTTTATGTAGCTTTAGATCTATGCTTTTCTGTAATTAATTCATAGCTACAGTTTTATGGTCCAATTCTGGTGAAATTTTTATGGTGAGCTGATTATTGTATGATTGAACTATAGTAAAAAATTTATACTCATTGGATCTTGTATACATAAAAATTTCATCACAATTGGACCATAGAATCTGCAACTATGAATTAATTATAGAAAAACATAGATATAAAGCTACAACAAAAAATTTATACCAAAGCATACCATATTATATATTCATTGTATAGATCTACTCATGTGGAGTCCAACAAAATTAGATTTTCTATTTTATGATTTTTCTATGATTTACTATAATTTTTCAAAGATTCAGCCAAAATAAATAAAAATGAAAAAGATAAAATCGTCTTTGAAAACCACTTATAACCGGTCAGGGAGGTAAAACGAACGGCTTTGAAAGTTCGAAGATGTGGTTTATCTAGTTTTAGAGTTCAGGGAGGAAAAACAGATTTTCACAAAAGTTGAGGGAGTTAATGTGGACTTTTTTCCTCATAGAGACGATCTCCTGACTCCTAGAACGAGTGGTCCACGATCGGCACGATGAGGCATTCCTGGACCTGCTCAGCGGCTGGGTCCAACAAGCAACACCCCTGCTTCACTCTGTGCTATCTCCTCCATCTTTCTGCCATGTGACAGAAATCCCCACTCGCTTCGCCCATCGTAGCTTCACCGCAGGGTCTACTGCCGCGCTGCGCTCCATCCTCGCCACGCCTACTCCGCCTCGCTGCACCCCATCTCCCGCCACGTCATGCCCCATCCCTCGCAGCTGTGCACCGTGCCCTATCCCCCGCCGCACCGAGGTGCCGCCGCTACCGTAGTTCTCCACCAGGAAGGTCGTGGCTGCCGCAACGTGTGACCTCAACAAGGAGATGTTGCGCTGAAACCGCATGATACAAACGTATATTTTAAGTGTTTCAGATGTATATTGTAAGTATTTCATATGGATGTTGCAAAAGTAGATCCAGATGTTGCATATGTTGCAATTGATGTATACGTATGTTGCAAGAGTCTGTTCAAAATGTTTCATCTATTTTATTTGTATGTTGTAAGTGTTTATCTAGATATTGCATATGTTTTATACGTTGCAAATGTATGTTTGAAATGTTTCAGTTGTTTTAGATTAATATTGAATCAAGTGTTTCATGTTGCAATCGTAGAGCAGGCGGGATGCATGGACTCCCGCGTGCGAGCGTGATACGGAGCAGGCGCGGAAAGCGAGCGCAGAGCGGTCCCCGCGTTCATGGGAAGTGGAGCGGCATGAAAGCTGGCGTGGTGTTTCCTGCGTACTAGGGATGGAGGTGTGGCGTTACAGGCGTCTAGAGGTTCGGGCGCTAGTATATCCGTCTTTTTACTGATGAGACACCGCACATGGGCGTAGTGCCCATTGCCCATCACAGGCCTTTTTTTTTCTTTGCACCGTTCTCAACCACTAACTGTTTTAGACTATTTTTTGGCACACCTCTGGTTCCTTGATCGAAAATAGTAGCTTTGTTAACTTCTAGTTCATTTTAATAGGGGAAAGAAAAAATAGTTTCAGGATCAGTCCTAAGTTTTTGGAGCTTGAGACCAAACCAAAATTCAGAGCACCCGTGCATATATTGATAGTAACAATACTATCCGTCAATATTTCTTTTATAAAATGTTTCTGATAAACACTTAGTTTTGTACGAAATAATTCATACATATTAAAAGTCAATTCGTTTGGATATTTTGAAGTACTTGAAATTACTATTAAAAAAACATGGATGGACCATCTCTGTGATTGTATCAATTCATCTACTTGTGCTCTCTTTTTCTTTTTCTCATTGCTGAAAACATACTTTCTTGATGACATGATGTTGTTAAAATTTAGAGAAAGAATTAGCTCAAAAAATTAACATTGACCTGTTGTACACCATAACTTACTTAAATCCAAAACTAAATCATTTTTTGTATGGTTGTACCCTACCTTCAAGCGATCACGAGCAAGGAATCAACAATTATGCATTATGATTCAGTGCTATAGCGGTGAGGACACTCCAGCAATCGGTTAAATTTATCCAATATAATCACGTTCAATTCCAGAGCATAGAGCAGGCTAGCAGAGGATGCACAAATTTAATTAAATCCCCAGCATTGGGGTTTTGGGGACTTGGTGCATTCCTGGATC